TTGGGCACTTTTGGGACAGTTCAGCTTTAAGTTGGCTCCCATCCAAACAAATTAATCCATATCCCTTCACCTAGGGCATCTAAAGTCGAAATACCGAAACTGTATCCTAACCATACCGTACATACCATACCGATTTCATACTGTTTCATTTGAGATGATGAGATATTCGGTACTGTACACTGTACCATACCAATAGAGTATGGTATGGTAGTGGTATCAGATATTTAGTACCGATCAATACCTTACCGATACCGATTTGGCACGGTATGGTACGGTACTAACTTTGACAAACATAATTCCATACCGTATCATACCGATATCGGTAGCGGTATGAGCTCAATACCGTACTGTACCGTACCATGCCCACCCTTACCTTCACCAAAAAATAAAAATAAAAAAAATAAAAAAAATAAAAATCATAGTTCCCATTAATCCATATCCCTTTCTTATAACATGTCTTCATATTTGCCATGTTGATTGTTGTCACCCAAAGCCTTATTGTAATTTGCTGCCAGAACCATTTTCATCCAAATAACTAGAATGCAGTGAGAGCAAGAAGGAGAATGGGAAGGAATTTCTTCAACAGCTCCATTAATAAAGAATCATAATCCTACATTAGCCATATGCATCATACAAATTACAATTAGCATTATATATCATAGCGTGCTCTATAGCTGGAAAATCTCCGCCAATACCTAGTGGGTCTTGTAGATTCTTGATTCGACTTCCATCTCACTTTATGTGCATATTTGTACGTAATTTGTATGCTGCCGTTAATTTTGTGAGGTTTTCTAATTTTCCTTTCCATTAGCAAGAGGCCCTTGATTTTCACCAATTAGGCGGCCTGACGTCATTTTTACTTATTTATTCTACAATTTTCTTGGATTTTGCTAAGCAACAGCACAAGAACCAACTGCTAATTGAAGATCAATTGAGCAAAATAAGCAGCAAAACATATATACAAAGATGGCAAACAAAACGAAGAAGCCCAGGCACAAACAAAATAAAACATCATCACAGAATGTCACACACATATGGATACATTTAATATCCTTATTCGAATAGTTTCTTTCAAATAGATGAGGCTATATAGATTTGAGATCAGAGAACAAACTTAGCGCTTACTGCAAATTGCTAGTTGAGATACGAGTCTCTACTTGCCTTCATTTTGTTGACAACAACATCTATTTGCATCGGCTCAGTTGGTGAAATAGCAGAGCATGAGAGTCCTCTCTGAATCACCGAAACCAAACATTCCTCCAATCTCGTTGCTTGGATTGGGTCGCCATCCTGATAGCTTGTAATTGGTCTTGCTCGCATGTCATTGTTGTATCTTTCATCATTAGCATTTGCATCATCTCTTTCAATGAGCAATGAAGGGTCAACTATCTATGCCCATGGCGTGGTCAGGCATTGACATGGCTATGAATTGGTGAATGCTTAGACCATCTCTGAACATGTCATCTGTAGGTCTTTTTTCCTGTGAACATTTCTAGCAACGGTATTTCAAAGCTATAAATATCTCCCAGAAAGGAGACTTGGCCTCCCATGCCATACTCTGTCATTCATTAAATGCTAGCCATGGCAAGGGGGGGAGCTAGGGCAGCTACTATTCACATGAATAGTGGTTGCAGTGGCAAAATCCGAATTTTGTGTTTCCACCCGTTGCCCTTGCTAAGGGCAGGTACTATTCATTTTTTTTGTTTTATTCACAATTTTTTTTACCTCAATAATTAATTTGGATAATATTTTCGGATAAGATTTACGGGTTCCTACGTGTCAAGACTATTCATAATCGGATAAAATTTCGGGATAAGATTTTTTTGTTCAAATTTCGGATGAATTTCAAAATTCAAAATTCAGATAAATTTTGGGGTTCAAATTTCGAATGAATTTCAAAATTCAAATTTCGAATGAATTTCAAAATTCAAATTTCGGATGAATTTCAAAAATCAAATTTCAGATAAATTTGGGTTCAAATTTCGGATGAATTTCAAATTTCAGATAAGATTTTCATCCAATCAAATCAAGCCACGTGGCATCTTTATCTTGCCAAATTTCACTATAAAACCAAAGGCTCACCTCATACCTCTCACACCACATCTTTCAATATTTTCATTTCTTAGAGTTTAGCATTCATACTCCATTCATTCTCAATGGAAGAATATAGGAGATGCTTGGAGAGGCATGAGAGAGAAAGAAAGGAGAGAAACCGTAGAGCCGATGAAATCAATGAGTTGCAGAGGCAAGTTGATGAACAAGTTCTCATAGCAGTGGCAATGGAAGAGGAAGAGAAC